TATATATATATATAAAATAAGACCTGCATCAACATTTGCTACCTTGATATAATTTTTTTTTTTTTTGTTATCATTCATGAGAATGACTGACTTCGGAATTCCTAAAACAACTGTGGCAAGAAAGACAATTTATGTAGATTCTATGGCCATGCAGGATTTAATTTGTGTTGCAAATCATCTTATGTGAATTGGACATTTATTTAAGTGGTGTTTATTGGGTTAAAAAAATACAATATACAAATGTGCCTCAAAACAAAAGCTAATTGTTGCTCTTCAAATGACTGGAAAATGCTGGAGGAAACACAGAACTTCAACTTTCATCTTACTGCTCAGTCTAGCTGAGGTAAACGGTGCTTATGAAGTGGGAAAGCCCTGTGGCTATGCAGATGGAGCTCTCCCAACGCAGCCCCATTTCAACTCTGTGTCCTAGAGAAGACAGACAAATGCAACTGGACAATTAGTCCAGTGAGAATATAGCACACTCAGACCGTAAGAGCTTTAGCACATCCATAGTGGATGGTCACATGGTGCACATCTCTCTGCCTGTCTGCTAACTGGATGGATCGTGCCTTGTTGTGTGTAGACCTTCACGCCAAGGCTGCATAATTGAGTGTGAAGAACGAGTTGGGTTTCATTACACATTTTGGCACTCTTTTGTTCTAATGTCACACACCCATTAATGGGAATTTCTTGCAGAATGTGGTAATAATAACCGATAAAACATCCGAGGCTGGAGTAATCCGTTACGTTCTGTCACTAAATATTCAGTATTGTTCAGCAGAAGGAGTCTGTTCACACCAAGGACATATCAGGCCATTCTTCTCAAATGTTTAGACCGTACTCTGCAACAGTCTGAAGGAAAGACACCCTTTAACACACATATGTCAAAGTGCCGGCCCGCGGGCCAAATCCGGCCCGCGAGAATGTTTTCAGTGGCCCCTGGGATGATATTGATTTATTATTAGAACCGGCCCGCGGACTGCAGCAAGCCGAGAGCCCGCAGATCTTTTACACGCACCAAAACTACATTTCCCACAATGCAACGGTGACGCGCCAAGCAGTCGGCCGCTTTATTTAAATATTTATTCGTCTCGCAGTCGTTCCCATAACAGTGACATTAGCTTTCAGATACCCATCAAAAATGGCAAAACGGAAGGTGGACACTGAGAACCGCGGGTTTCAAACAAGGTGAGAGTCGAAGAACATGTTCATGGACGTAGCTGGAAAACCTGTGTGTCTTCTGTGTGGAGAAAGTGTGGCGCGATTCATTCATTCATTTTCCGAACCGCTTGATCCTCACTAGGGTCGCGGGGGGTGCTGGAGCCTATCCCAGCCGTCTCCGGGCAGTAGGCGGGGGACACCCTGAATTGGTTGCCAGCCAATCGCAGGGCTGTGGCGCGATTGAAATAGTGTAATCTGAGACGACATCATGAAACGAAACACGCAAACAAGAACATGGACATGGAGGGGGAAGGGGGATTTCATTAAAAACGGTATACTTAAAGTTTGTGACGAAGTTTACCCCGAAAAAAAGCAACTCTTTTTAAACGTGAGCATTAGCAGAAACACAATTGCAGTGTTTCTGCAAAGATACGGCAGTGCGTGCTGCGCAGTTTGACGGTTTCCTCCCCGACACAGTGGTCCCGCTGCGCATCCAGGCTGCTCAAACGTTGTCGAAAGTTTGGCAGCACATACGTGTGTGAACAACTATTTTCTTTGATGAAGCTGAACAAAACATCACACAGAAGTCGATTTACTGCTGAACACCCTCACTCAATTTTGAGGATTTGCTCAGCTCAGAGCCTGACCCCAAATATTGATGAACTTGTAGAAAAGTTAAGACACCACCGAGTATCAGCCTCAGCCTCAGAGAAGTGAATATTACTTATAATATACTGTGCAATCACATACTAAGAGTTTTTACTCAGTTCAAGTTTAAAAATTAAAGTGCAATATTTGCTTTCGCTGCTTGTTACTTCTTGAAGAAAGTGTTGTTTTTGGTTTATACATTTTTGCACTTTATTTTATTGTATTTCAATCCAATTATGTTTTAAAAATATTTTATTCGAGTAAATGATCGAAAATTACTGCACTATTATTTGTTTTTCTTTTAAGTAAATTTAGCCTACTTTTGCTAAAAGAGAAAGTATGGACTAGTGATAGTGCCTTGAATAATATCGGCTTCTTTCATTCATGTTATGGGTATTTTTATACAAAGGAAATTTTTTTGTGCCTGTTGAAAATTAAAGTTTACTGACATAGCCATAAAAAAATGTTGCTTTATTTATCTGACCGTATTGGAATGTATTTGTTAGGTTTTCAGTCAATTAAATTTGGTTCAATAAACAATATGTGGTCATTTTTAAAATTTTCAATGAACATTCGATCAGTCCGGCCCTCGGCTTGCAGCAAAAATTTTTATCTGGCCCTCCGTCCATTTGACTTTGACACCCCTGCTTTAACAGAAAGAAACCTTGAAGAAACCTGACTCAAGATTTGCCTTCACTGGTTGGTATTTGGCACACATGCCGATGGAATGCCTTTCTAATCTTTGTTGAAATGCTTGAGATTTTTTCATGACATAAATATGTTCCAATGAGTTGACGGAGCAGAACCTCATGACAGCAATGCCTCCTGAGGGGCCAAAAGTCGAATTGAAGTATGTTCTATTTCCGTGCATCTGATTTGCTATTTTTGTTGGGCTAACCTAAACTTGGAATATGAGGTAGCCTCAAGGAATTTTGAGGACAGCTTTTGACATCTCAACTTGGTTCCTCAAACAACACAAGCAAATGTCCCATCCGAGACGTTTTCAAGTTCTGCTGTATTGATCAGAGATACCAAACCACAATTGTAAACATAGCCATTAAACAGGGATGTTGCTACTGATTTGGGGAGTCAATTATTCAATCAATTATTCAACATCTTAACTGGTTAAGCTGCCAGCACCCCAGAGAATAGTAGTGGCCAAGAGTCATCGTTAAAGTGAGACATCTAACTTTCGCCATGGAGCAGTTACTTGCATCTGGCCTTTGCCTTCCAGAAATCAATCCAAAATCTGATGGGCACGAATGGCAGAACAGCAGCGTATTCAATTCTGAATTCTCAGTTAGGCCTTCGAATCTAACCCCTTAAACATATGGTGCAAACAACGTTAGTCTAACCCCATCTCTGTGTTTAACACCATACTGCCCTAAATATAAATAGTGAAAGTGAAAACTGTAGGTGTAATATATTTATATGCCTCTTTAGTGTTACTCAACTACTGTTAACTACTGCTATCGAATCATAAAACTGCCTGACCGACAATTGCTATAAATTGAACTGGCATTATGATGTAAATATTGCCGAATATAAACCTGCCTCATTATGTGCAAACATAGATAGGAGTAATTTTACAATCTGAGTAACTTGCAGGTGCCACTGAAAAAGTCATGCTAATGCTTACCCATAAACTTACTGAAACCTAGATATTGCCAGGTTGGCATTCCAAATGAGAATTTGTTCTCAATTGCATTACCTGGACAAATAAAGGTTAGTAAAAGTAATAAAATAACTCAAAAAAGCCCAAGTCAGATATCTGGTTTGACTTTCCAAATTAGTCTCAACAAAACCTGAACTAATGCACAGCGATGAAGACCATCAACAAAAAAGTCAGCCTCTGCGATTTTCTGTCCTCTGCTGAATGCCGCTCCCCGGCAGGGAGAAAAGCAGGGTACCCTTGTCAATTTGCATGCATTGGCGCTGGAGTTCAAGGCCTGAGTGCTGTAAGCAGGTCTCCATGGAGATAGGCAGGCTGGTTAAGAGCCTAGATTGAAAGACGATGCATCACAGGCCTTGGAGGGCACATGTGGAGAGAAACAGACACAATAGAGGCTGGAAACACAGGGAGGTGAGAAGCGCATGGACACAATCACACAGGTACGAAGAGGTGTGGGCCCACAGAGCACTGAGTGCATGAACGCTACAAGTTGTCAAATCGAGTGTGAGATTCATCACCGTGGCATACATGATTCTTCATCTTTTAAATAGTTCGATAAAAGCCAATTTAGACCAACACATCTCCCGTCAATGATAAAATCTACACACACTTAAATCAGTTCAACAGTGTTTCAAAAACTATTCAGCAACCGAATGGACCTTAAAATCAGCCTAAGGTTTGCAGAAAGCTGACTTTCTGGCTACGCCTTAAAGTGTTTGGCAAATATTGGAGACAAAATCCATGGTCAGAATACAGGAGAAGCATTGAGTGGGAAACGAAACATTTACTTTCTAAACTACGAAAACCATGCTCCACATAGACAAAGTAAGAGACTCCGGTACAAAAAAAAAAAAACAATTTAAATATAAAACTAAAATGTGTTCAATTTGCTTGTTAAATAACTTTAAAAGAGAAAGTTAATACTTTTTTTTTTTTTTTTTTACCTTGCCCTGTGTTTCAAACCGCTTGATTCCTCTCCGCCAAGTGGCTCACTCAGGAGTTCGTGCCGTCCCTCTCAACTAGCAGCCTTTCATTTGTGTTTTCCCTCCAGCCTTTGCGCCAATCCGGTCTTAACATTTTGTCCGCCGTGTGCAGTAAAATGAGGGGCTGGCAGAGGTGCTGCTGGGATGGCATGCGCTTCGGCTGTGCAGAACCGGTTCCTCTGTAGTGTGAGACCAGAGCCACCAAAGTCTCACGAGGTGTAAAGAGCTGGAGCTGGGAAAAGCGAAGGAGGGAGAGCGCATCAAGCGCCTCGTGTGTGTGTGTGTGTGTGTGTGTGTGTGTGTGTGTGTGTGTGTGTGCATGGTAGGAATGAAGGAGAAGTGAGAGGGAGGGCGGCAATTCAGAGAAAGGAAGGTGGGAGGGAAAATGTGGAAAGGAAAAGGGGAGGAGACAAATTTCCTCAATTTTCCTGTTCAAATATTTTTGAATTTCCCCCCACTCTCCTCTGATATGAGCCATATACTACATACCGAAGAACCTTGTTAACGAGTTATTCTTTTTCCATTTTTGCGGCTGTTTTGTTCCTCTTTGTGATATTCTCCTTTGTCAGAGCCAGCTGTGTCTTTAAGCCTGTGCACTTGAACTCCAGTGCTTTTCTTTCTCAGTGTACTTCCCCTCCGCTGGCCCCCCAGCATACAGGAAAGACACTCAGCTTGCAGGAGAGTGAGTGTGTGCGTGCATTTGTGTGTGCGGGGGAGAGGGAGATAGAGAGAAAGCACAGAGGAGCAAAAAGGGGCCGAGGGAGAAATGCAGATGGGGGAAGGGAAAGGTTTATAAATGGTGGTTCATGGCTAGGGCAGCCTCTAGTGTCACATGAAATGACATTTCCGAATACTGTACGCTGATCTACGACACGTGCACCAAAATCAGCACAATGACGTCCTAATGAGAACATGTGTTCTTTTGTTATTTTAAGGGCTGCATCAATATTAATGGACTGCCTAATGTGTTTGATGACTGCTGCTGAAATATTGATTGGGAGGAATAAAGTGTGTTTGGAGCAGCCAACAGTCAAGAAGAGAGTGCAAGGTGAATGTCAGACCACGCAACAGATCTGCTCATCTCCATAGCAACTGCTGATACGTTTCACAATAACACATTTTCTTCGTGCTTAGGGTCAGATTTTTGCTTTTGTCTCTAAAACAACTGAGAGGGAGAAAAAAAAAGTGTTAAGAGACTGGGCACGCCCGCTCACCTTGAGTGATTGGATTGTGGAGGCAGCAAAAAGAGGAGGAGGCCAGTCAGGAGATCTGGAAAGATTCAGTCAGAGGCCAACAAGGGCACTGTAAACTGAACCACCCTACACTTCTCTTCTTGCAGAGGTTTGCATATGTTCAATTGTTCTCCTTGACACGTACCCCTCCCTTACTGATGCATACATTTTGCAATGATCCCGCAAGGGAGAAGCAGAGGTAACACAGGATTTACCACCCACAACTCACCACCACCAACTACACACAAAAGTTGACGAACAGCATGCTAAACTGTTCAAGCGCCTTGACCAACTGAGGGCAGTCGATGACAAACAGATGGACAAACCGTTCATTGAGATGTTGCAGCTCCCCTCACCTCATCCTTACGGCACTAATATTATTTGTGATTCACAGAGGATAAAGGATAAAGCTAGCGGTCTTAAAACATGTTTCGACCCTCATCTGTGGTCCTTTCACAAGGTTTCTTCTTTTTTCCCGAAATGGGATTTTGAATTTTTCATTGCCTGGAGCAATTGGACTTTGGATGATGGGAAGTCACCAATTTTTGTCAGCAATGGGCCTGTGAAGCCCTTTGAGACTCGCTTGTGAATAATGGCCAAACAAATCATAATAACTTGACTTATTGTCTGAAATATACATTTTAGGGTTTAACTCCTATGAAGCTTTGGTCAGACAAGCCCATGGGAACTAATGCCTCATATTCAATATCTGAGGCTGTGCATATGGATACATTATCGAGTTTGAAGCCGTTCGGATCTCTGAGGAGTTTGTTGACCTATATAAAAGGCCAAGAATGGGGTCAACCTTCAAAGAAAATTCAAAACGGCAGACTTCCTGTTTGGTTAAGGGTATGGCTCCAAGAAACTTTTTTTGTAGGTTTTGAGCTGTTCCATGTGCTTCCCAATTTTCATCGATGTATGTACAGCCGGGGGCTGCTTCATTAAAAAAATTGGACGGGACACTCCTGAGCTATTAATTAGAAAACCAAACAATAACTTACTGAATTATGAAATCATTTTGCCATGCCTGATGTGTATGATAAGTTTCATGGGTTTTCGTTCATGGTTAGACCCTCACAAACTCCTCCATATACAGTATGTATAATAACGGAGAAGTGAAGTACGCTTATTGGGACCTCAAGCATGTGGATTAGTTGTCGCACTAGTGCGATCCCTCAAGATGTGATTTACTTCTTGTGTACACAATGCTTCATTCTTTTCATGTTTGTTTTGTCTATTCCCAACCCACTTTGATGTGGAGTGGATCTGTAATATATTCTGCGTTTTGAAGAGGCCAAAGCTGGAGTGGATCTGTAATGCATTCTGTGTTTTGATGGGACCAAAGCAAGGAGTGGGAATGAAATATAGGCAATTAAAAAGCCACAAGCAACATTCCATCAAGCGAGAGAGAGTCTGCTTGCTGATTTAAAATGATATCGGGGTTGATTTAAGGCCATCTGAACTGCTGAGAAAACATCTTTACATTGGATTTACATCCCGGGAATCTCGGAAAATTATTAAATAATTCTGCGGAAAACTTGAAACATGCTGAAGCTCAAGAAAATGATCACGTATGCATGGAGAACACAATTTATTTTATCCTTCAATGGCACAATACAGTATAATTTCATATCAAGTGTAAATCTTAATAAAGCACTTCTAACTAAAATGGCATCTTCTTAATTTATGGAATTGTACAATGACAGGATCAAACCCACGTTTCCTTCATTCAGCTAAAATTCAAGTTCAAACAGCTTTTAACTTTGGCGCCATGAAACTAATCCTAAAAATTATGTCTATTTCACTAAAATGTTCCTTTTTTTTGGTCTGTGCGGGTCTATGCTTAGTATGGCATGCGTTTTCACTGTGAAATCTGATCTGTGGTATAATATACTGCAAATACAAAGAGGTATCGATCCACAATGAAGTGGAGGAGGAGACAAGATGTTAAAGGTCAAAGGAGGAGGTGTTAGCTTCATTCGTTCATACCTTTTGTGAGGAATGCACAAGCAAGTTGACCGCATGATAGGACCAGAGTGGAGGGACTGAATTGCCATGAAGACACACTTCTGCAGCCAGACAAGCAGGTCCCAGGCTCAAGGTCGGTCATTACCTGAGGGAAAGAGCCGGCATGTGACTTCAGGCAAGGAATGCTTACACTGATCTTGAAATGGTCTGACCGATCGATGGCATTACGCTCCCCGTGAAAGAGAGAAATCAATATGTTTTTCAAGGCAAAGCAGTTCTGCATGTGGCCTGCGCGTGTGGCCCACACTGAGGGCTCCAGACGTGTTCAGACTACAACCGCTGGCTTGAATGGCTAAACACTCACGTCTGTTTGTGAAAAATGTGTTTAAATCACAATTGTCCCTGTTTGATTGTTTCTCGCTCGCAGCATGTGTTTGGGCAGCACAAATGCCATACCAACAGGGGAAATCAATTCAGCAAGGTGATGCACAGCTTGGAGAAACAAGCAAATAAATACACGGAGAAATGAACCGAACGACCTGTGACGCTTAGAGAAAATTAAGTGCTTGTTTAAAGACTCTGTAATGCAATCAGTGTTCCAGTTAATAACAGGAAGGGCCTCCAGGGGTTCAGCTCAAGAACTGGCGGCCTGGCCATTTGGACCAGCATGCAATCCTGAGAACAAATAAAACCTCAAAAAAATAAAAAGGAAAAAACACAAATGCTCATAACATATTATAAATACATATTTGCTTCATTTTTATGATGATGAAAATTAATTTTGTATGCCCTTAAAGGGACTTTCAAAAAGGTTCCCTTACCATGCTTTAGAACATTGTGTACACAATTCCTCGCCTGGAGTTCCCATCATATGCCCCCTTCTATCTCTATCCCACAAAAATTGTGTTGCAATTTATTCTTGACTTGCCCTCTGAGCAAAGCGAGTGTGATTAGTTGGAGGCAGCAGTTAAGAATAATCCACAGAGAAATGTTACACTGCCCAAAAATACCTCAACGCTGACCACAGAAAGACCTCAGTGGAAATGAGTAAAAAAATAAATAAATAAATAAAAAATGGGACGGGATGCAAAGAGCAACCCCCCCCCGCGACCATTGTGAGAATAAAGAGGGTCGGAAAAATGGATGGATGAATAAAAATATACAATGGATAAATACAATTATAAAACACAAACTGACGGCACGGTGAAAGAATTGTTGGCACATCGGCCCCACGGTGCAGAGGTGCAGGGTTCAATTCCGGCTCTGGCCTTCCTGTGTGGAGTTTGCATGTCCGCCATGTGCCTATGTGGGTTTTCTCCAGGTACTCTGGTTTCCTCTCACATTCCCAAAACATGCATGGCAGGTTAATGAAACACTCTAAATTGTCCTCAGTTGTGATTGTGATTGCGAAGGGTTGTTCGTCTGTGTGCCCTGCAATTGGCTGGCCACCGATTCGGGGTGTACCCCGGCTGCTGCCCGAAGACGATGGGATAGGCTCCAGCATGCCCGCGAACCTCGAGAGGCTAAGCGGATTCGAAAACGGATGGATGGATGGATGGACATTAACATGGACTAAAATAAAGCATGCTCGATAAAAAAACAAATACATCTTAGATTTGAGGCTACAAAACAAAAAGAGTGAGAGCTATTACTGAAGAAAGAAACAGTACCGATAATTACTTTTTTAAACTTCTCTTTTTTATCTATTATTTTTATACTGTATATGTACATGTCACACGTGCAGTATTTGTTTGGAGACACAAGGCTGCACTCTAGTGGGCACAAAGAGAAACAAATCACAGAGTAAAGCTGCCGGTATGAGAAACCTTGTAGCTAATCAAGTGTGCGTGATTGCGCAAATATTGTAGCTGCTGACTAATTTTGCGGCACTAAGAAAGAAGTTAACCGAACACTGGTTGTCAAAAATTTATATCACATCCCTTTTTATATTGCTTAAGTGGGGCCGAATTTGTGCATTCAATCAATCTCATTACAGGCAAAGGCCCGATTGTTGGATGCCCCTAAAATATCCTGACTGATTATTCTGTGGTGTAGAGCGGTGTTTCCTGACCTGTATTGAACCAAGACACATACTTCACATTGTGAAAACATTTTCCAGCATGCCACAGAGCAATATGATTGCAAAAGGTGGAGACACAGGTTAATTATGTACCTCTCATCAAGTGGAAGAGCATTTGATTGTTCGGCCTATACTGTACATACTTGGCTCAATTAACCACACATTTGTAAATAATTTTCTGTCCAATTAGTTGACATTGGAAAATCTCTCACACTCTCGCACACTAATGTGCCACAGCACGCTGGTTGGGAATCACTGGTGTAGAGTGTCTTAAGAGTGATTTTCTCCTCAGGGGGTCAAAAAGAAAGTCAGGGGCCAACAATTTCAATATTTACAAAAGTAAACCCATATGTGCACTGGTCAACACTGAAAAAGAAGAACAGCCAATTAGGAAGCGGTGTGCAGCAAAGTACAAATAAAGGAGCAACTAACTCGTGTCGAGTATTTGTACAAGGTGTCTCTCAAGTCATTCATCACAATAGAAATGACAAGGAGAAGACTGCTGTACTGTGGTGTACCCGTAGTTTTTATGCAGGCTAACAGGAAGCACAGCCCCCTCTATTTCAAATCAAGTCAATTTTATTGTCAAATGTGCTAGAGCACAGATGAAATTTCTTTCCTCCCAACCACAGGAGAGAGAGGCGCCGCTGCGGGTACCCGCACCGCCATCAACAGAACAGTTAACATAAAATGACAAATTATTACAACATAAGACACAGACAGTCATGCAATCTTAACCACTTTTTCTGCATACACTTTGTTGTTTGAAGCAGTTATAGATGAAAGAGGAAAATTATTTCTCTTTCTTCTTCTGCTTTGCGTTTTGCAGTATTCTGGATACTCTGGGGTAATACGGTGCCAGGTCAGTCTTGCTACTATGACAGACATCTAGAGACTCCGAAATGCTGGAAAAACTAACGGTACGTGCATGGTGTATTGTATTCTTCGTTAAAGCCTCGCTTTTTATTTATTTATTAATTCTTTGGAAATAAGTTTGAGTTGAGTTGATTAAGTCATTTAAATTACACCACACACGATAGGAGCGTTAAGCATTTATTGTCATGGGTGAGCTGAAGAAAATCTGAGCTGACTTAGTGTGCGAGGCAGGATACACCCTGGAACGGTCAGCAGCAAATTGTAGGACACATACCATATTAAAAAGAGGTCACCAACCTTTTTGAAACTGAGAACTACTTCTTGGTCACTAATTAATTTGAAGGGCTACCAGTTAGATACACACTTCTGAAATAACAAATGTGCTCAAATTATTATTAGCAAATATTCATTTATGTGAAGACAGGGATCACATTAATAATTTCTCACAATGAATAACAAATAAATATCAGCATTCAACAACTTCATTCATGCATTCATTCACCGAGCCATTTAACCTCACTTTATTTTTATACATTTCTGACAGTGTTCACATTTCCAAATGATCACTTCTAAAACATAAGAAAATCCCATTGACCCATCAGTGGTCAACTATATTTAGAACAGGCCCGCGGGCTACTCCTGTGGTCCACGGGGGCTACCTGGTGCCCATGGGCACCATGTTGGTGACCGCTAGTATGTACAAACATTCTCACTAATCATACCTATGGACAATCTAATATTATATCATAAAAAGACTAAAAACACTTGATTTGGTTTAAAGAAGTGTTAACTTTCAAATGCAAATCTCTATTTTTTATGGACTGAGGTTACACAGTCCCTCTTTATAAATATTTCTTGATTTGGTGATGAAATCTAATGTCAATATCTTTAGAATTTATTGTGGATGTAGAGTACATTTATACTCTACATCCACTATAAATTACAACACAAATTCTGACCTAAAAGGCTGCATGGAGAAATGGGGCTTTGATAAGGCGCCATAACTCCAATCAGATAACGCATCAACATTATAGATTGGTTAATGTTTTAAGTACAGCAGTCTGTCAGTCTCGGAAGCTGCCACAACAGTGAGCATTTATGTCCACATTATCTGCCTTCAAAAAAACTGACTCACGTTGTTATGGCTGGAGGTCTGCGGTGTAAAGAGCACCAGGTGGCTTGTAAAGGGGAAATACCGGTACATAGGACAGCTCTGAGATAAGGATAAGGCCCTGAAAAAAGAAAGAAACACAAAGTGTCGAACCAGTGTTGCATTTATGGGATTCACACATGACAAAGATTCAGAAATGTAATTGAGCATGATCAAATAAGACTGGTGAGAGAACCCAGCTTTATTAAATTATGTGGAGCATCTTAAGTTCAATGGCCCTGATTTGGAAATTAACATTAAAATTGAACAAAAACATAATTCTAAGTGACATCAGTTCAGCCACTAAAGTATGTGTTTTTGACCTATCCATAAAATTTTGCAACAGTGGTTAACTCCTTTTTATGTCTGACAGTTAGCAATGTCAAAAAAATGAAATGCTCCACATTTTTTCTGTCTTTGCTTTTACCTCATAATATCAGAATTTACAGTTATACATGATACGTTTTTACATTACCGGTAATACAAATGGCTTTATAGGATCGAGGAAATGATATATACCGGTATATATTTTTTGTAATGGGCATCGACCACTATCACAGAGTACATTAAGATGTGACCACATTACAACGAGAAAGATCAGTCCATAAGGCAAGCATAACTCATCCCTTCCCCCTCACTCGGTTGATGGATTCACTCATTCCAGCCATTTATCAATTCGTCGAAATATTTGCATGAAATGAAACTCGAACACAAAGCAGGGAACCCAGAGATGAGCATGTCTGCCTCACACTTTTGAGGCTCTCGGTTCAAAACCCTCCTTCAAACTTCATGTATGGTGATGGAATGTTTTCCCTCTTTCCACTGGTTTTCTCCAGTTGCCTTGAATTCCTCCCACAATCCAAAAACAGGCACGTTATGTCTGTGAAGTTGGCCTTAGGTTTGAATGTGAGTGTGAAAGGTTGTCAACTTCAAAGGGCATGGTTGGCAACCTGTCACCACGGTGACCCATCTCACATCCAAAACCAGCCAGAGACCCAACAATGACAAGTGAAATAGAAAATGACTGTTATATGTGTGGCAATTTTAGACCTTTATTAGGTAGGATAAAAGGACATTTCAAAGGGAGGATACACGTTAAGGCTCAGCTGACGAGCTCACAGTCACCAGTGTCAGCTGGTCAATAGAGGGAGCCAACTCACCACGCACGGTGGTCACTCCATTACTGTACATTCCTTTCAAGCGGGAGACAAGTTAAAAAAAAAAGATTGTATTGTGTGCAGCCACTTGACAAAATAAAATTTAAAAGCTGTACATAAATAAAACTGTATTTTATTGTATATACACGTAGATACACATAATCATATATCATATTAGGACGACATGATATTGGCAATACGTGATATGGGTGCTGAATATTGTGATGTTGATATTCCGGTATTTAACATGAATGTAAAAGAAATAACTTTTTATCTGATTAAAAGAATACTTATTTGTAATATAGCAAAATAAGCAGTCTAATGCTTGATTAGATAATTATTTGTAACTTTAATATTTGTATATATAGTACCAGTCAAAAGTTTGGAGACACACAAAAAAAAAATCATTTTTTCCCCCTGAATTAGATACTTAAGTAATCAACATAATGAAGAAATATTGCTGGAATTACTTTGTCAAAAAAAATGCGATTCAAAACAATCTGTTTTATAATTTAGATTCTTGAAGGTGGGTACCTTTTGCCCAGAAAACAGCTTTGCACATCTTGGTATTTTCTCAGCCAGTTTAATGATGCGGATGATGTTTTATGACCTGCAATGCCTTTCATTTCACAGCTGTGGATTATCAACCAAGAATTTTGTCAAACAAGATTTTGTCATGACAATAAAACTGTTTTTCGTTGCACTCTGAACAATTTGGGAGCCAATCAGCGTCGCGGAACAGTGTTGGACTTCGGAGATTCCACTGTACACAACAACCACTCAGCACACTGGTGAAACAATCTATAGAATTTTCATCCAAATTATAAAGTTGGGCACGGTGTCGGAATACTGTACTTAGTATTGTACAACAATTATGCGTCAGAAACTAGAGAGGTTACACACAATCAAATAAAACCAGATAAAGAGTCAACTTCCACAATATTTTCTTTCAATAATAACCCACTCCACCACGAGGAATGGTATCAGTTAAGCTAGCATAGCTGTACGTAGAAAAGTATACAAACTTCATACGTTCAGAGCAAGCTGTCCCACCCAGTTGTTACTTGGTCGAGCGCTGTTCTTAACAGACTCGACTGACAACAAACGTATCCAGCCGCCAGCATTATAAACGGAGAGTAGCAACGTCCAAGCACAGTTTAGAGTCGCCATAGCTTCAAACAAGTGCCACTTACCTGTCTGCCCTTATATGGTATGGCAGGGGCGCGGCTTGTCGCGCAGATCTGGTCAGCGCGCTTTCATGACTGTTGGTTACAGGAAGTGAGTCACACAACTGACGGTAATGTTGCTCCTCGCTTGCGGCAGCCGGCAACGCGGACTGGAGAGAGAACAAGGAAGCAGCATGCACCGAGCACAATAACTCCGAACAGCAGCAAAGAGAGAGCCAGCCTGCGATCGCGATCAGACAAGTCGACTGGATATTCAATGAACAGACACTTTTAAGTACTCAAACGGTGAGTTAGTTTTCTGGTCCCCTATATTTTTAAGAGCGCTTGTGTTTAATATGTTCTTGGGGTAACGGCTCACTTTCGAGTTAAGGTCGTTACTATCTGCCGCATCTACCTCATGAACTTGAGCACAAAATATTCGTACTACCATAAACTATTGTTAAAATTAATGTCATTTACCTAGTGATTGCTAGTATATTTCATGCAGTAAATAGTTGTCACGTTTATTTCTTATTTTCACCCACTTGAATTGAGTTTCCACTGAGGGGGTTTCCGCATGCCGCAAAAAGTACAATGTAGCATTTCGCTTTCTATCGAAACAAAATAGCCTTCATAATAATGCCTTTGTTTTTTTATGCTTCTCATAAGGCCCATCCGATCACGGACACGTGTTGCTTCTGTTGCTTTGTTGGTGCGTCTCTCCTATGGGACAAGGATGTAAAAACTAGTTTGTTGGGTTTCATCCGAGTTTAAATAATAAATTCTAATACTCTAGTCGCACTTGTCATTTGATTTCGGTGATTGGGGATGATTCTGCGTGAATGTAAAGTTGGCTGATTATAGTTATATAAATCATAAATGACATACTTTCAAGTACAGTAATCTGATTCTGAAGAGGACACTGTATGATCGCGATGTTCTCTGCAGATCCCGTGATAACGGCAGTTGGCCTGGTCATTTTTTGGGGTCAACCACTGATAGGATCAAATACATTAACATTAAATAGAGGTGAAATTAATCAGATAATGCCTAGTGGTAATAAATCATTTAAGTTGCAGACCTACATATGTGGGTGGCGGCCTAATAAAACAAACAAACCAATTTCTCCTCCCTACTTTGGCGAATTAACTCATTCACACTCGGACTAACTGATGGGCTAAATATTGGCTCTTGGGCTGAAGTCAAGAGTACAGCCATTTTGCATTGCTATCATTGCTGTCAACTTAGATTTGTTTGTCTGCTGAGAACACGTATCAGCACATGTTTTTTACACCAAGAACCCCTGTATGGAGTAATGAGAGCCTCTCAAAGAAGGAATTTCACTGTTTGCATCCACCATTCACTGAATGTTTTGGTGTTATTTTGTTATTTTTGACTTAAAGATGGCTCCGCGAGAGTGGCTGCCTTTCCAGCAGCTCCTACATTTTGTTCTTGTACTTCTTCCTTTCATATCTTTGCTGCTGTGAATTGGGAATTTCTCCATTGCGAGACTAATAAAGGTTTTCCTATCTTTTATCTTATCTCAGTAATGTGAATTGTGAATTCTGGCTTAGGTTAGGTTTCCGTTTTGCAGCAAATAATTTCCTACCCTAGGCCAACGCTTTGTACTGATGTCCACAATCGTTGATTTCACTTCCATTTTGGAACACCAAGAAAACTAAAAACACATTCCAAACATTAACAATCAACATTACAATAGACACAAAACATTAAATGAATACACAAACATAACATTCCATGTGCACCTTGTAAACCAACAGTAGATACATTGAAAATAGAGTCAGATGATATCATGTTTAGTCTTTCTGATTCCTTTGCGCCATCCGGCATGCATGAGCCTAAAACGCAAAAGTGATCTTTCATAAAATATTCTACATCATAATTTGAAAAGAATAAATATCAAGGTTTATCTGGAAACAAATACCGGTACGTAGTCATAAAATCATAAACAAAAACAAATATTACAAATTTTGGTTGTCATAACAACCATTTGAAAACAATACTACGCCGGTTACAATGGCCTTTGCTTTCAACCCATGGTTCTGACAATGTCATGAAGACAGATTTGATTAGCGCTTGGAGATATACTTTGTAAGATAACATTTATAATCGCTTTCTAATTGATGAAATGTGCATGTCCTGCTTCTCCCGGACTTACTGGTGGAACTGGCATTTTTGTTGTCAAGATGGAAAATAACATGAAAATGCAGCTGAGAGATCACTGCATTCAAGTTAGGCACACTTAGCGAGTGGCCATGCAAGATAGCCCCCAGGGGCTTCATTTCTCACTACAATGAGTAAGAAGGCATTGTTAGTCCGTCATATACATCCATGAATTGCAACAACACCGCAACCCTTATGGCGATAAAGCAGATCAGAAAATGGAGGGATGGATGGATGGATTTGCAACAATCTTTATCGGAAAGAAAAAACTTGGTTTATAAGAAACTAAAACAAACAGACAGACAGTGGTCATTATTTAAAAAGATAGGCGCAGAGGGTATTTTTCTAATATAAACATTAAGTGAGGTGAAGAAACCAAGAGCAGGTTGGAGTATGCTGTGTTAAAGCAAGAGGTGGACATTCTGTCAGGACTGACGAAAGGTCTGTCGGTCCATCACTGATGGACGCCCGTTTTGCTAACAAATGACAATAAACTTCGAATTGACGACTAAGCGCTGACGGGCGTGAGTTGTCGTCCATCAGTGTAATTGTCATGACCTGGGTCAGTTACCTACGGATTTCTCAGTGCGCCACTGGCGGACACCTGTTTCACTGACAACTGATGAAAACATGCCCCGTCTGTTTCATGTGTGCGTTTGTTTGCGGAGGTGAATACGGCAGCTTTGCGTGAGCACACTGCATTGACTATACATGGAAATGATTTTCGCTTCCTGTACAGTAGGTGGCCAATAAACTAAGAAAAAAAGAAGGAGAAAGAATAATTTTATCTTCCTTCAGTTCCATAAACACAACTTCGGGATAAAGTCAAGTACAAGGTTGTATTTATCTGCAACTTGGGATGCTAGGAAGAGAAACGGCATGCATGTCACTGCCTGAAAAAATGACAGGCCAGGTATGTGGCGAGATGAATAGTCATGCGTCAGAACGGACTTAGTTAGTTTGCTGGAGAAAACAGCTTTATCACTGGCAGAGAAACAACAAACTGGAAAAGACACTTGCGTCTTGAATGCCTTGCAGACTAAAACTGCAGGAGTCGAGTTCCTTGTGCGTGTGTTTTGACCATTCAGACATAGCTGAGAGCACACAATTGCCTTCCTATCCCTTCATCCCATATATGCACACATTTTCTATACTGCTTATCATCATTCGCGTTGTAGGTATAAGCTGGAGCCTCTCCCAGGTGATTTTGGGTGAGAGGAGTGGTATACCCTGAACTGGTCGCCATCCAATCACTGGGCACGTACAGAGAACCATTCACCCTCACCTTCACATCTAAGGACGATTTATTGTCTTCAAAGTAGAGCAAAGACTCTTCTGATTCTAAAGTAAAAGTAATGCGCATTAGGTTGAAGTCTCCCAACATATGCTGACATTTTGTGAGACTTCCAAACATCATTCTCATGTGATGCTCAAACGACTGATAATTTTCAACTCCAAATTGTATAACTTTTTAAAGGGAATTTGGCTTTGCAGGTTACTTTGTAGTTTCTTTCACAACTCTGCAAACAATGAAGGATTAGTAGCGGAATACTCCAATAACTTTCGGCTTCAAGGTAAAACTTTCTGTCAGCCACATGGGCAGTTGATTCAGCCAGTTTGGCAGCCCAGCTGGAGTTGCCTTGGCCGTTTTTTTCATCGACGTGCTCCTTTCCCCCGGTCAGGCTGACACTGGCAACATCCTCACACGGACACACTATCTGAAAATAAACAGCCAGCTCAATGTGCAGGTCATAATACTTGTCAGCTTGTATGTGCTGTTGTTTGACTTTATTCCAGCTTGTTTTGACCAACACTCAGCTCCTGCTGTAAGATGTCCAGTTCTTGTTTTTAGATTACTGTACACTTACAGGCCATTGCAATATTATGCAAAGGAACAAATTTGCAACAAATGCTGAGTTTTGATTTATATTGTTGTAGGAGTAATTTAATTCTACCCAATTGCAAACTATCAGCATAATGAAAATCATATTGTTAAAGTAACAAGAATATATCTGACAACATTAATTCAAGACAAACAGCACTTGCATTGGATGTACCTCATGAAATGTTTGTTAAGGGTTCAAAGAAAAAAAACAAAACATAAAATTCATACGGTTCATGGTCAAGTGTGCAGGGACGTTCCTTATCACTGATAAGTTCTTACTCTCTCACTTTGCCCTGGAGTGGCTGCACCACACACAAAAAAAAATCTCTACATGCATACTGTCAGTAGACTGCTTATAAAAACACCCTTGTGAAAACCTGTTCTGTACATTGTTGACAAGTGCAAGTGACTTCTCATTTCATCTGTACAGGCAGCATGAAAAGAGAGGTGAAGGCCGGAGTCAACTTCTTCAAGCGGCTTGTTGTCGCACGAGGCAAACTTGACGCAGCCAAAGTGCAATTGTTTGCCGAGAAGCTTCAGCAGCTCTTATGCGATAAGTATGATGGCCACTGGTACCCGGATTGCCCGAGCAAAGGCCAGGCGTTCAGGTGAATGAGCACACTGCATGTAACATTGTGTTGCATTTATTGTAACAATATTGCAAGAATGACACCCTTGATCATTTTTAGTTTCTATAATCTGAAAGCATCCATGCAGTTTCATGAACACTCCTGATACAAGGTTGTCAACCTACAAGAGAGGGAGGAATACTGTCTTTCTGTCATCGCACATGGCTGATTGGGCTGTACATTCCATTCTTGTTTTATTGTTGTTGTTGACTTACTGTCGCTTCAGCAATCAAAATTGTACTGAGCAACTCTTAGGCGTGTACCACTTTCATTGCTATGCCGCTACGGACGTCACGTTAAGTTCCATTTCTAGTTGGATG